TGCAGTTTTTTTCAAGTCAAAGTAATGAAGCAGCACATGTCGAAAAAACAACTTATCACGTTCCATATTTAATTAAAAGAAAAAATAGCACTGCTCGCTTAAATGAATCTCTTCGCACTGAATTTTATTGACAAATGTCTAACCTCTAAAATGCAGCCAGTTTCAGATGTCAAAATAAATTACACCTACAACTAACGTCACCTAACTGTGAGCCGCAGGAACTAAGTTTACCACCTAATACAAATTTGCACTTAGGTAATAATATAAAAATTTTTTATTTACTTAGTTTTTGTAAAGAAAGCCATATTTATGTTACATATTCACGTTCCTAAGTGTTTTATAGTTGGTTATGCTCAGAGAAAACCAAAGATTTTATTAATTATAAAACATTATTTATTTTCAATTTTTTAATTTATGTTTAGTTTTATTTGATTTATGAAAGCACAATGTTAGTGTAAAACTGTTGTAAGGTTCAGTAATTCAAAAACAAGTAATATATTACTTAGAATATTTGAAAAGATATTAAAAAAACTGTGATACTTGCATGTACTTGCGATATTGATGTATGATACTTATTTTAGATGTTAGGTACAATGAAAGCAAATGATTATTATAAAATAAAAATTTTATTACAAGCACTGTATTATTCTGAATCGTTTCAATTCCCCGATCTATTTCAAATCGTCTTCTGAAATGTCTTCGTTATCAGCTACGAATTGCTCTTCTTCATTCTGGAGAATGTCACCTTCATTCCATAGATCGTCGTTGTTTATGCATAGATTATGTAAGACGCAACAGACCATTAATTTCGTGATCTTTTCGACTGTATGCATATCGATCTGTAATAACAGTTGTCGAAACCTTGCTTTTAATATAGCGAAGGCATTTTTAATATAAACGCGAGTTTGATAGTGTTTTTTGTTATATCTATTTTCCATTTCTTCTAAATTTCCATAGTTTTTGAATGGCACAAGTAACCATTCGCGTATTGGATAAGCAGAATCACCCAAAATATGATAGTTTTTCTTACATATTTATGGCAGCTTTTGTTTGACATCACTTAATTTAAAGACTCTAGCATTGTGAACTTTTTCTGGAACTCCAATGAACACGTTGATGAATTTTTTTTTCGAATCACATATTGCTTGCAATATTATAAATGTCTTGTCGTGTCGATTGGCGTACGTCGATGCAATTTTGTGAGCTGGTGTTCTTATGTTTATATACGAACCATTAATGCAGCCTATAATACCTGGAAATCCCACAATTTGTTCAAAGGATCTTGCTTCTTCGTCTAAATTTGACTCGTCCGGAAATTTGACGACTTGTCTCGCAATTTCAGTCAGATAATTCATGACTATGTCACATTGTTGAAAAACTGTTTTGAGGAAGACTCCAAAAAACGTTGCGACACACCGCAATGATTCCTTATTACCAACAAACCACAGGAATACCAGCACATCTTCTTCTGGCGACTTTCTCTCAATTCCACTATTATTTGATGATGGGTAAAAAAAACAAAAAAGAAACAGTAATGAAACGGTAAAGAAACGGTAAATAACAGGAATGAAACAGTAAAGAACGGTAAAAAACGGAAAAGAAACGGTAATGAAACAATAACGGCTACCAAAAATCATAAAAACCATTACCGAAACGGTGTATTCCAATATTTATATCAAAAGTGCAGTCCAAAAGTATTCATGTAAGATCACTCTCTTATGCGTCACAATGTAGCAGTTAAGTGCTGTCGCATCGATTTGTAGTTGACAATAAGATGCGCGGAAAAATGTGAAACAAGATACTATTACGAAAGTCATAGAAGTATGCATATTTTGCACATTTTGAAACATATAAAATCATGTGTATTTCATCGGCGCATAGTTCAGTCGAGACACAAGCAGCAACAAATACGGGACACAAGCAACAAATTGAACGGCTAAAATGGAGGACAAATCAAGAAAGATATCCATGGTGTAGTTTTTCGTGACAGAGAACTCGGTTTGCGAGGAATAACCAAACGTGGTGTGAAGGAAAATATTAAAGTTATCAAGTTCTGCTCTCTAAAAAGTTGGCCCCACGACTTAGTGCAGGAGTACGCCAATCAGATAGTGGAAGACGCACGTAGGATCACGACTGAGAATGCAAGTGAAATAAACACTAAATTGAATGAGCTTATAATGCATCCAGACATCAGAGTGCTAAAGAACTTTAACCTTCAAAATTTCTATATAAAAATTCCGGCAGGTAGTAGCAAGTTTACACATATAATATTGTTTTATGACATACATTTATATGATGATTTGTGGAATGCTGATATGCCAATTTTGATGATGGAGCGACACGATAAACGCGAATTTTGTATATGCTATCGAGACAGTTTACAGTGGCCAAAAGTAGATGAAATCAGTTGGGACGATGAATCTATGGTTTACACCGATGAAATGCGGCGATGTCAACGGTGTCCGTATAGTGAGTCGGATCTGATCTACATGTCCGCACATTAATTGACTGATTGAACAATAAATTGAGAAATTCTCAGTGCAATCTTAAGCATCACAATGCAATATTTTTGTGCTGATACATCAATGTGTGGATGCGGTTGACCGCATGTGCGACATATGATGTTACTATTACGTTAGGCTGTGCTGATTTTGCACATTTGCCACCCTCTCCTAACGAGACATATTTGTTACAAAGAGATAGCGATGGACCATATAAAAGTCACCCAGGAGTCACCAGCAAACAGTCCATGTCCATATCGACAAGGGAGAGAGAAAGAGAGAGAGAAAAACTACAATAAAAAATGTTGAACAACAATGAATTTAAAAGACCCGTATATGGGGAGGAGGAGGAAGTTCTGTTACAATAAAGCCCCCCACGTAAGTTTTTAATAGATTGTATAATCCAGGTTTTTATCTTTTTTAAAATAATAATTAATCCAATTTTAGCTATCGAGGAAAGCGAGGAGGAGGAGGAAGAGGAGATGGAGGCTGATGAAGAAGAGGAAGTAGACGCACAGTCGGCCATAGGTGAGAGAGCAGACAACATTTTTTATAATTTGTAATCAAATTTTCGATTTTTCTGTATAGAAAAGCGTTAAATTAATTTTTAAATTTGATTTCAGAACATATAGAAGTCATTAACATTGATGAGGAGGAGGAAGAGGAGGAGGAGGACAACATCGCCGACAGCGAAGAAGAGGAGGAAGTAGACGCACAGTCGGCCATAGGTGAGAGAGCAGACAACATTTTTTATAATTTGTAATCAAATTTTCGATTTTTCTGTATAGAAAAGCGTTAAATTAATTTTTAAATTTGATTTCAGAACATATAAAAGTCATTAACATTGATGACTCTGAGGAGGAAGAGGAAGCTGATGAAGAAGAGGAAGAAATAGGCGTACAGTCGACCAATGGTGAGAAAGCAGACATTTTTTATAATTTGTAATGAAATTTACGATTTTTCTGTATAGAAAAGCGTTAAATTAATTTTTAAATTTGATTTCAGAACATATAGAAGTCATTAACATTGATGACTCTGAGGAGGAGGAGGAGGAGGAGATGGGGGCTGAGAAGAGCAAGTAGAAATAACTAGAATTAATTACGGCGAAATTGAAATAATCCTTAATTTATATTAATATATTTATTATTGTTATTATTATTATTATTATTATATATTAATATTGTAACGATGCATGTCGTTACGTCACAAAACAAGGAAACGCAGAACACCGCGAACCGAAAAGCGCAAGAGGACAGCGCGTCCTCCAAAACAATAAACAGCGCGACCGCCGAACAACAGCGGTAAATAGCGAATCAAGCGAGATTCGAGGTATATAAAATGCCGCGTAATCGTAATCGAGAGATTCGATCATCCGCTCTCGAAAGAGAATCAGAACCGATCCACCGCTCTCGAAGGAGAATCCGATTCCGATTATCCGCTCTAAGAGAGACCGACTCCGCTCCTGGCAGATTACTGTTCGTCGATTGGCGACTGTAGTCACTCCGCCGTCGTTGCACGGATACGTGTCATCGACATTTGATTCTACTCCGCTCCGGGTAGATTACTGTTCGCCGCGTAGCGACTGTAATCATTCCGCCGTCGGCTCACGGATTCGTGAGGCCGACACAGATAAGTTTCACAGTACCGCGGGCCGCATCCGAAATTGCGTCCGAACGAGCCGAGCTCGTTGAATCATAGAGGAAACGCCGAGGGCTAAGGTCCTGTGTACGAGGACCGACGGCTACACCGCATACACAGAACTGATTTAAATCTCCGCGATAGGAGATCGAAGGGAGCACCGCTAAGGCGATATCCCGCATGCAGTTGCGCTGCAATCTCAACGCCCGCGAACATTATATGATTCCGAAACGCCGCTAAACATCGCTGGAAAAAGTGTCCACCGCACTTAAGAGACACGACGCCGAAAGAAACGTCAACAGCATAGACTCGCGAAGACGCGACACTGACGTCGTCCGCGCCCCGCGCACCGCGCGTCACATCACCAAATCCGCGTCTAAACAAACCTCTGTCAGGCGATACAAACAACCAAAGCCAAAGGCGTCGACACGTATTGTTCGATATATATATTGTCATTATCATCAGTTTAGTATTTTAAATATATTATTCATTATTATTTTCTTAACACACTGTTTCTCAATTATTCCGCCTATCACGAACCCGATCCGACAAGCGATTCAAACCCGCAA